ATGAAATTGAAATCGTTCAATCTCAGTACAAAAAAACTTGAATAGACAGTTTCAATGGAAGATTCGGTATTTTGGTAAACTTTGATAATCAATAATCAGGAAAAAAGGTTCTAATGACATGGCAGAAAATATATAGGATGTTCCATTGACAAAATCAAAGTTGATGTCCTTTCCAGAAAAACTTCACGACATAAAAGTATGGGTTGTATCAAACAAATGTTCGATTCAAAATATTCACATCTCTGAAAACAAAAGATTTAAGAGGGGGGTTCCATTTTAGGAGGCGCACCCTGTACAGTAACTTTTCGTATAAAACAGAGATTTTTTTAAGCAGCTTCTGCGATGGATCTGACATGATTTTTCCATTGATGAGTATTATTGACCCAGCAAAGATATTGTAGACTTTGTAGTAATAGTGGTACTAGACATTGTTATATCAGGCATATTTGGAAAGGACAGGCTTATGTTTTGGTTGCGTTGAATTCATTCAGAAAAACGCATTAGAAAACTAAATTCCGATTTAAAAAAACAAATTTGCTCTTGAAGAATGCAATGGAAAATGAAGGTTAGTATTTACAAACTATAAAGTTGACTCGTTTAGCACAATCATGCAGAGTAGAAATAAAAAACAATAAGCAATGAATGGTAGTGGAGAAAACATAATATTATCAATTACTCATCAAGAATTATAACATTTATATATCATACAGCTCAACACCTAAAAAATTCAAGGTTGTTGTTGTATTTCACAATTGTACCGAAGATACCGAAATCAAAACTGTGAAGTATATACTTGTATCTACCATTTTATTTCTAATTCCAATGGTAATGGATGGTTGAATGAAGGTTCATTTATATTTTGTATACAGTTTTCCAGTTGATGATAGGTTATCATAAACGTACTAATATATTATAGCGGCATAGAAAGTTTAGTTCACATGCCCAACATTCTTTATTTTTTAATCTTCAATTAAATAGAAGAGAGAGAAAATGACCAAAACAATTTTGGTCAAAACTTCATAAATATTTTTTGTTATCATGATTACCATACTACATACTATACTATAATCTGAAATGATACACATGGAAATAGCATAAATAGTAACAAGTCCAATCCAATCAAGTCCAATCAACGAATGGTTTCTAGCAACCTGAAGCTAAAATCTGATGAATACTGTCTGTAGGTTAATCGAGGAGGTGGTACATTCATTATTCCAGATTTTTTTAGGATTTTCTCTCCTCGTCTCCATGAAATGAAAATCAGATGATTGGCCCTAAGATGAGCCTAAAAGAAAAATTCATTAGCTTGTCATTGACAATTTGAATTAAAAAGGTTTGGAGAAGAGAAATAAAGGTATATACAAAAAATATCAAATTTTTATCATCTTTGGACGTGAAAGAGGTCTCTTGGTTTCACCTGTATAGAACATGGTATTCACTACTGAAATTTGAAAATGAAAATGGTAAATTCAAGATTAATAAATGAAAACATCCTGTAACTCATTTGATTACCAATGTCACCAATTGTCATTGAAAACTGAAAAGCTTCAAGACATATTATACGACTTCGCTATTGAAATAATCTCTTCATGTTGAAAACGGGAGCAGAACCGGTCCGCGATTTTACTAAATATACTGTACGCTAGCACAAACCACGCCCACCGTAATATCTCATCTTAGAAGTACTTAGGCAAAACTCAGAGACTATTTATCCTTAACGAACTAATCTATCCCTGATTGCAATATTTTTGAGGAAGGAAAACCGAATGGAGTGTAGAAACACATTAATTGATAATATATTTCAAAAGTTGAGTTCTTCAACAAAATTGAATAAAATGAGAATGTTTATCCTAAACGCACTAACCTATTTGACTTCAAATATTTTATGAAAAAGGAAAACCAGAATGAAGTAAAAAAACATTGGTGAAAAAAAAAGTTGCAAAAAAAGTTCAAGTTCACAGCGATTCGAACCATGGACCTTCAGACTAAAAGTCGACAGCGCTAACCAGTAGACCATTTGGGTATATAAATTTATTGCGCACAAGAGATTGACAACGAGAGAGCTTCAGTCGAATTCGTGTCAAAATCATGAAAAGTGTATTCTTGCGTTGGAGCACAGTATATTTAGTGCGATGTGCTGACTCCGAGTATATCGGTAATGTTTGGAGATATGACGTATTATGGTGGGCGTGGTTTGTGCTAGCGTGCTATTTAGTAAAATCGCAACCGGTCCCTAAACGTCCAAAGATAAGTGAAAATTTGAAATATCTTTTCTATATATCTTTATTTTTCTTCTCCAAACCTTTTTCAATACAAATTGTCACTGACAAGCTATTGAATTTGTCTTTTAGGCTCTCTGATAGGAAAATTATTTAAACGCAGTGACATTTTGGGGCAAATCATCTGATTTGTCCTCACTACACGTATATTGAAATAGTATTCATATTTTTATTTCATAGAGACGAGGAGAGAAAATCCCAAAAAATCTGGAATAATAAAATCTTATACTTTTTTTCCTTGTTTAATATACCATTTTTTTTCTGTGACAGGAAAAATGACGATTCAACATCGAGAAGAGAAATTTGTAGTTTTTAATTGGTAGGTTGTGACAATTACACCTTTGTTGCGAGCACGTTTTTGTAGGCATCCTTATTGTTGCTATGGATTTGAATTGATTGGAATTGGCGTATTCGAATATCTGTCAATTTGATTGTGTGATTTGATTTTTAAAAAATTGCGAACTTAGTGGTTGTTTAGTAATTTACGTAACCGCGAAGTGGCTCAATAAAAGCCATCAACAGTGCACCTAGATATCCGGGAAAAGAGTACTCACGTTTTTCCGGTGGGAAAAAAGTAATTTATGAAAAGTGACATTTTTCAACCTGTCAACAGAGACAAAACGTGAAACTTTTTTCCCTTCACAGAAAATAGTAATTTTTCTAACAAGTGCGGAAAGTGATACTTTCCCGCACGTGAATGCCGTTGAGTTCGGGAAAGACACTTTCCACATGAGTTAGGAACAATATTTTTTCACAAGCATAGGAAATTGATCGATTTGTTCAATCAATTATTCCTGCAAATAGGAACAACTAACAATAGTGATATATTCTCTATCTTCTAATAATTAGTTAAATTATTCTATTGTGTGAACCGTTTGAAGCATTATAGGCAAGCTTATTGCTGAATCCAGCATGCCCATGGTGTTTGGCCTCTAGGTTTCAGACATTTCTAGGAAATGAGCTAAAAATACTTCTTCTTTATTTGGTGTTTTAATTTTTTTACTTATTGCACCATTCTGTAGTGCTTCTCATAACTTTCTTAAGACTTCGTTGGCAATAACTCATTTGTATCGCATCTGTAGCTGGAAGTTTTTCATCGCGTTTCCACTGAATCGAAAATGACAGTAACGCTCTGTCTGTCACTCTGAGAATTACACTTAACTAATTTGTGTTTTGATTGACATGACAACAATTTTTTCCCACATCAGATCAATTAAAGGCTATACGGGGATTTATATAACAAATCAATAATCACTATTTTTCAATATTTCTTCATTTTCAACAAACTTACTAAATACTGCAACAAAAAAACCTAATATTTCCATATTTTGCCACCCACCATTCATATTTGGCGAGAATATTATATAAATGTATTTTTCTACTACTGCTATGAAAAGTTGCGCATTTCTCATAGCTCTAACATAGTTTCAAAACCATGTATTGCTCATACTGTGAGAAATATTTTTTCTCACGGCACTTTGCCAACACCACATACATTTCCATGGAAAATCAACAAGAATCGACCAAAACTTAATTGGCTGCTGTTCAGCTTTGAATAGTTATCACAACTGTCAGAAGAAGTTTTTTAAATTCTTTAGAGTAGTTCTCATTAGTGTTTTTGATAGAAATCGCATTTTTCATCAAATATTATTCGAACAATTCATAATAAATAATATGATGTATATACCGAGATGTGACGATTTAGATAAATACACCGCCAGAGACAGAGATAATGGAAGAAGCTGCGAAAATTGGATTTGTTTCCGGAAATTCCAAGAAATAAGTATGAATTGGCATAAACGAAAAATTTATGGAATCTAAAAAAATACAGAAATAAAATCTTTTTCGAAAAGTGTACTTTTTTGAAATATTTTGAGGAAGTTAAGGCGTCTACTTTTTGGTCACAATATTCAATGTGGCATGGTGCCACATTATAAAATGAATACCAATAAGCTACATTACTCGGATTCTTTGAATAAGTGCAGTTGTAGAAAAAGTATAGTGTGCAACATGTGGGGAAAAGCACTTTTCCCACTTGTTGCACAATATACTATTTCCGCACTAGCGTGGGAAAAAATTTCCCGCACTCGTGTGGAACAACTTTTACCGCACTACTGCGGGAAAATGACACTTCCCAAACTTAATTGCGTGCGGGTATAGGGTGAATCACGCACGATTGTAGAAAAAATATGTTTTCTGTTCTTGGAGACACTTATAACTGTCGACTATTTTTCCTGAATGTCAGAGGCCTGTCTAAAGGCAGAAAAGCCATCTTACTGCCTGTGAAGACACAACAATGTAGCACAAACAATAAAAAATACCAAATCCGCATAGGCAGTGAAAAATACCCTTCTGAGAAGCATGTGCAGTAAAAAATACACTAATCTGAATTGCCTGAAAATGAATAGTTATTTGTTTTACTAGCCGCGGCAGTCAGTCTACTTTGATGCCATGTGAAACATAAATTTTTTTTCTCCAAATGTTATGAATCCAATTTTGTGCAATTTTGTTTACCAATTTTATACAAATTACTTGGAACGTTACACAGCAACAATTTTTTTCTGCCTAGGCAGAGAAGTACACCTTTGCTGCCTGTTAAGTGTCATAAAACAGACACTTTCTATGCCTTTCGGAGAAAAATATTTTGTCTGAAAAAAAAACTTTTCTTGCCTATTTTCTGGCCATTTATCAGTGTTTGATGTTAAAGATTGTCAAACGCACCTGCATAAGGAGCAATCCGACGATGAAGCCGGTTCCTTGACAGTATCCGACCTCTCTGTCGTGCAGAGAGTAGGCTTTGATGACATTGAAGAGGGATTCTTGGCCGAGACCGTCCTTTTCCTTGAAGAACTCGTGTTCCGGATAAGTCCTGGCGATGTCCCTCCTTATCACTTTCTCGCAAGGAGATTTGGTCTGAAACAAACGAGGCAATATGGACAACCATGACTTTCGGTATTGATGCATTTTTTGACCAATCATAACAATGGGGAAGTTTCCTATATTCAGGTTTTTATGTCACTGTGAAGTTTGTAAAAAATTAATACATACGTTTTTTTTTGTCGTAAGATCAAATTTCACTTTAGAAAAAAATAAATAAAAGAGGAACTTGGCTCCTCCACCATTCCTATGACGTACTTTCTGAAAATCCACATTCACACAGAGTTAGAATACGATTCCCTATGCCAGTACGACGTTGCCGACATCATAAATATGTCTAGATTTCCGGAAATTGTTCTTTGAATGCATAATTACTATATCATAACAGCAATGGAATATAATAGGTTCTTCAATCCTACTTTGTCAAGTATTATGGATAATTCCCATAAATCTCTCATTGGCTAGATGAAGTTGATTACTAATGAAGATAAACTATGATATTTTGCGATAGTATCTATGATTTTTCACTATCGTTATATTACAATATGTTATTCATAACTTGTCAGTCATTTTTTTTGCTAATGAATTCGTTCCTTAGGATCTATTTTCTAGGGAAGTTGCAGATTATATCTTGCAACAGCGCCTAATACTATGAGTCCGTCCACACCACTCAAAATATTGACAGGCACAACAAGAGGAAGGAACCATGGGTGTCGGCTTCATTCTCTTCTGATCGATGGCAGTAAATTAGGAAGGATAGTATCATTGAATGTAGCCGATATTGATTGATTGATTCAATGATTCGTTAAGGATTCAGCTCTATCGAGATATTTCAATGCATAAATAATAAAACCATAACCTGTCAGAATGAAGCCAACTACCTCCTGCATTCCTGCTCCGAGTGCATTTGTGGTTATGTATGTTTTTGTTCACCAGTTTTACTTCTTCTTTTTTTTTCATTCATTCTAGCTACAGCGGTCAATTCTATTATTCAAAAATTTCTTTGGTGTACAAGCCATTTATATTTAGAAGTACAAATTTACTAATTACTATCATTGACTTTTTTTTACTCTTGGAGCGCACAGAAGGAAATTCCTATAATGTTCGTGGAGCATCGTGCGTACCGAGGTGCGTACCTAGGGAGGATAGGGAGAGGAGGTAAGTGCTAGAATGTTCTTTGAACTTTTGGAGGTTATAATATAGCGAATCTTCATCGGCCTCCACACTATATACCTCCACAGCAGTTTTCAAAGAAAAATAACTTGACGGAAAATAAAAAGGTGGCAGGATTTTTCTCTAACTTATAAAGGCTGTCTTTAAAAAGGATGCCCAGTTTGTTAATTATATACAGTGTGTTACAATTTGGTCCACCACATCCCTGTACTTTGTTCATAATATACTACTCAAAATTATCTAATTTCTCGACCGAAAAAAAATTATCTAACACAATTTCTTGACCTACTGCGATCACAAAACGCGGAATCGTGTGTAACTCTCTCCACTTCGTGCGTAATATGAATTTTAAAACTCTTGTTATGTAATATACTATAACATTTGACATGGACGACTGAATCAATAAGACAAGAAACTGATTGATTGGCGCAGTCGGTAGGACTGACTCACCTTGATGTACTCCGCGTACAGCCTCTTCTCGGGAGCCTCGTGCGCGCCGCACAGCAGCTGCCACACGATCGCCCTAAAGTGGAGGGGCACCCCACGGCGCACCAGCTCCCTAATTTGCGCATTCTGCCGCTTCCAGTTGCCCTCCCAATCGTTGACGATGTGGCCCCACGTGATCCACAGGTCCTCCTCGCTGCCATCCTCGGGCCGTTCCTGGTTCGAGCTAGTGCCTAAAACGAAGTGGTAGAGTTTTAGACGGCCAGCTGTGGTTCTGATCGCGGCCGATTCTGAGCGTGGCCCACGTACGAGCGAGTCCAAGGAGAGTGAACTTGAATTTCTCCAAGAAAAACCATCTGATTTCCGTAATCGTCAATGTTATCGCAGAAAAACACATGTTTGTTTTTGTTTGAAATTGTCCATGTATGAAAGAGAAGCGAGGAATGAAAGACTTTTGGAGTGATTGCCACGCAAGCGGCTCGGTTTTCAAGTCATTTTCCGAGAAATATACTTTCTAACTATCTGAGAATTAGGTTTATTTCGGCAGAGTTTGGTAAGATTGTTTAGAAAAAGTAGTATACCTTGTTCTTTCAATTGATATATCTAAAAATATACTTTTCAGGAAGGTTCATTTGGGCCAAGTTAGATTAGATTGTTCAGAAGAAGTGACCTCCTTTGTAATGCTTGAAGAACACATATTTTCAAGATGAAACATTTCATGTCAACATATAGGCGTGGCATTTTCGTTTCCGATATTCAGGGTCTAAAATTTTGAGATTTTTCTAGCATTTTTCAAGTTTTTTTTCACAATTTTCGAAATAATATGATATCCCACATGAAAAACTCAAGATTTAGGATTATTACGCCCTAAAGTGGAGGGGCACCCCTCGGCGCACCAGCTCCCTAATTTGTGCGTTCTGCCGCTTCCAGTTGCCCTCCCAATCGTTGACGATGTGGCCCCACGTGATCCACAGGTCCTCCTCGCTGCCATCCTCGGGTCGTTCCTGGTTCGAGCTAGTGCCTGAAACGAAGTGGAAGGGTTTCAGACAGCCGGCTGTGGTTCTGATCGCGGCCGATTCTGGGCGTGGTCTACGTACGAGCGAGTCCAAGGAGAGTGAACTTGAATTTCTCCTCGAAAAACCATCTGATTTCCGTAATCGTCAATGTTATCGCAGAAGAAACAAGTGGTGGAATGTTTTACGCACTCTTTTATTAAACATGTTTGTTTTTGTTTGAAATTGTCCATGTATGAGAGAGAAGCGAGGAATGAAAGACTTTCGAAGTGATTGCCACGCAAGCGGCTCGGTTTTCGAGTCATTTTCCGAGAAATATACTTTTAACTATCTAGGAATTAGGTTTATTTCGGCAGAGTTTGGTAAGATTGTTTAGAAAATGTAGTATCCCTTGTTCTCTCAATTGATATATCTAAAAATATACTTTTCAGGAAGGTTCCTTTGGGCCAAGTTAGATTAGATTGTTCAGAAGAAGTAACCTCCTTTGTAATGCTTGAAAAACTCATATTTTCGAGATGAAACATTTCATGTCAACATATAGGCGTGGCATCTTTGTTTCCGATATTCAGGGTCTAAAAATTTAAGATTTTCCTAACATTTTTCACAATTTTCGAGATAATGTGATATCCCACATGAAAAACTCAATATTTGAGATTATTACGCCCTGGTGCTGGTGCACCGGGGGTCCCTTATTTGTGCATTCTACCGCTTCCAGTTGCCCTCCCAATCGTTGACTATGTGGCCCCACGTGACCCACAGGTCCTCCTCGCTGCCATCCTCGGGCCGTTCCTGGTTCGAGCTAGTGCCTAAAACGAAGAGTTTTAGACACCCAGCTGTGGTTCTGATCGCGACCGATTCTGGGCGTGGTCTGCGTATATGGTCGGGTAGCGCGAGTCCAAGAGGATTGAACACTTGAAAGCGTTTTCAATATTCATTTTCCTTCGAAAACCCAGCTATTTTCCATAAACGCAAATGTTCGTATTCAACCCTAACCCAATTGGGTTCACCTCGGGGATATCTCATTTCAAGGAGCATGATTACAGGATATTAGATTCATTGACTAGGACCTAATCACAGCACAAACACTCCTCTGGCTAAGGTAAACTTTATTTGCACTTTGTCCTCAAGTAATTTTCCAATGATTGAATTTTCTAAGAAGTAGGTTCATTTGGGCCGAGTAAGGTTAGATTGTTTAGATAAAGTAGCCAAATTTCTTATGCAAAAAGACTATTTTCCGAAAAATATACTTTCTAGGAAGTAGGTTCATTTTTGCCGAGTAAGGTAGGATTGTTTAGAATCGAGTTCAGAATGAGTAGATTGTCCTCTGAAGTGATTTATCCAAAACTATACTTCTCAGGAAGGTTCATTCAGGTTAAATTGTTCAGAAAAAGTAATCTCCTTTGTTATGCTTCGAGAACACATAGTTTCAACATGAGAATTGTATGTGAGCGTGGGAGCTTCGTTCCCGATATTCAAGGTGTCAAAATTTGAGATTGTTTAAAGGTTTTCCAAGAAGATGAAGAGTTTTAGACAAGAGTCTCGCCTTCTTGGGATGTTCAGCACGAGAATACCCGAATAGTACCAGCACCGGCGACTTTCTGAATTCTCATGCTTACATTACTCCACTCACAACACTCGAAATCTGCGAGGGGTAATTATTCTCCCTTCATATTAATAAGTTTTAAGCGAGCTGTGGTTCTGATTGCAGCCGATTCTGTGCATGATCTGTGCAAATGGTCGGGCAACATGAGTCCAAGGAGACTGAATATTTGAGAGGGGTATTAATATTCATTTCCTCTCGGAAAACCTGTTAATTTCAGAGATGTAGGAGAGGACTGTCAAGGGGGACACGAATTGTCATGTTTTGGTTGTCAATTATCGTGATTAGAAATATACGTTTATCAAACTAGACTTATTTTGGACCCATAACAATACAAATACCACCCCTGTTTTTGTTTGAAATTGACCATGGAGCTATGGGGAATAAAAGACTGAAGTGATTGTCACGTCAGCCGCTCGTGTTCAATACCTGCAAAAATCTTGAAATTATGCATCATATACACATTGATTGATACAAGGTGCGCCTTGTATGAGATTTCAAACATTATCATCCGTCATTTTGTTTTGGATGAATATTTTTGTCTAAAATTCTGGTATCGTATGAAGAATTGATTAGAAAAAAAATCTATCAGAATGGCGTCATGAAAGAAAAATATTCAGTCGTTTAAGACCTAACTTATGGGCAAGGTACAATTCCAGTCACATGACAGACTAATAAGTTTCGCCGTAAAAACAAGTTCACGTTTATTTTCAATTTCAACGCCCTGTATCTCGAAAACTGAGTTTATTTGAAATCTTCTTCTTCAAAGAGTGCAAAATTTTGCTACCATGAAGTGGACCACCCTGTATAAAAAATAAAAGCATTATTCAGTCGTTAACACGACTATTAATCATTAAAGCGATGGAAACAATAGAAATCATGCCGCCAAGGATATAATGATTATTATTCATAGTTTTTTCGTTAATTTCAAACAATTATTTGTTTCGCTTGAAGACTTATTGATGTAGTCGGCTTTAGAATGTATTATTTGAAACTTTCTTGACTACTTTCCCCTAAGCTATGTGATGAACACGAAACACAAAAAAACTGAACCCGACAAGTCGGTTATATAGGGTAAAACAAATTTTAACCATTTGAGTCTCAGAAATCGTGAGAAGTAGAAGTTGATGAAAATTGGATACTTGACAAAATTCCACCCTGACCAACATATTGAATTGGAATGAAAGAATGTGATGGAATAATTTGAAAGAAAAATTCTCGAATACTGTCTGTAGGTTAATCGAGGTGGTGGTACATTCATTGATCTGAAAATGGTCAATTCAAGATTAATTAATGAAAACATCCTGTACCTCATTTGATTGCCAACATCACCAATTGACACTGAGAACTGAAAAGTGTCAGGAGAAATACGAATTTGCCATACAAAAAATCTATTTTTTATTCTGAAAACGGGAGCAGATTCATTTCCAAAACGTCCAAACATCAGTAAACATTGTATATTTTTTCTATATACCTTTATTTCTCTTCTCCAAACCTTTTTCAATTCAAATTGTCACTGACAAGCTAGTGAATTTTTCTTTTAGGCTCTCTGATAGGAAAATTCTTTAAACGCAGTGACATTTTGGGGCAAATCATCTGATTCGTCCTAACTACACGTATATTGAAATAGTATTCGTATTTTCATTTTATTGAGACGAGAGAAAATCTCAAAAAAAAATCGAATAATAAAAATCCTCGAGAAGAAAAAAATTTTATTCAAAAAACATTTTGTCGATTTTGATCGATTCACAGAAAATAGCAGCCAAGAGTACCAATTCGAAATACAATTCTATTTTAAAAAAACCTAAGGAACAATATTTAATTTCAAATCAAAACAGACGTGATTTACACTACAAAGTCTGAATTTGAAGAAAAACACATGTAATGCTTTCAACAATGTAAGAGAATTCATGAATTCAGTGAAAGATTACGTTGCTTATTTTTTTCACATGTCAAAATGTGACGTTTCCCTTGTTTCAACCAAAATCGTTGCGTAATTCTAGCCAATCATTTGGTATCATACTGGTAATTTGTTAGTAGCAGTGGAAGTCACTGTAAGTCACTGAGAGTCTTTAGTAGTCATTGGGAAACATTGGACGTTTTTGGAAGTCATTGGACGTCTTTGGAAGTCATTAGATGTGTTTGAAAGTGATTGGATGCCATCGGGAGTCTTTGAAAGTCGTTTAAATTCTTTGAAACTCGTTTAAAGTTTTTGAAAGTCATTTAAATTCTTTGGAAGTCATTGGAAACTTTTGGGAGACACTGAAAGTTTTTGGAAGTTTTTGAAAGTCATTCAGAGTTTTTGAAAGTCATTGGAAACTCTCTGGAGACACTGGAAGTCTCTGGGAGTCACTTGATGCCATTGGAAGTCTTCGGAAGCCTTTGAAAGTAATTGGACGTCTTAGAAAGTCTTTGGAATCCACTGGAAAGTCACTGAAAGTCTTTGGAAGTCACAGAATGTAGGTAACTGTATTACCTACGATTTTTTCAACCATTTTTATAAAATCCAGTGTTTCCTTACCTGACGTAAACGATATCTGCGACGTGTTCGAACTCTTCTGAATATGTGCGGACGTGGAGGAAGCGCCGCTGGACGAATTGAGCGACTTGACGTCGGACT